TGTTAAATGAAGACATCGGTAGATGGAAATTGTTCGATTAAGCCACTAGCTCATGGACGGTATTTGCTAGTTTGAGATCTACTTGCTCTGAAAATTCTCTTTAGGGCATAGAATTGTCCAAAATCTACCGCTTGATAACAACACCACTCATAAGTAATAAATACGTTTTCTCATTCACTGTATATCTAGTTAATGAAGTTATTAGGCCTCAATGGAAGCAATATATTGGGATCATACAAAACTCAGATTTATAAGAATACCAACTCCATCAACACGGTTGGTCCTATGGAATACTTTCCCGAACAACTAAATGTGGTTTAGGTATCGTTTCATTCCGAACTGTGATAATTTAAAAAGCCTTCAGTATAACGGCTCTCTTTCTGTTTTAGTGGTGTTCAGTTACTTCTGTTGACTGACTCTACGATCAACTAGGCTAAGGTCACTGTGAATTCAGTTAGTTTGTGAGAGTTTTAATGGTAGATGTCGTCTTTAATGGAAATAAAAGTGATTTACAATAGGCGTAATCGTAAAATTTCGAAATTCTATAACTGGTAGTTATGTCATTGGGTTCCTCATTAATACAGTTTAATACAGTTTGGGAAGAACAGGAGGCTCGATGGCCTATGTTAGTCCTGGCAATGGTGGTCTCTCAGTTGATCCAACTTTCTTTTGAAAGAGTCGACGGATGGAGCCTCAACCACGTGCTGAGGTAGTGAATTCCACTCGTTGATGATTCGATGGGAAAGTCGATAGTCAGCTGACAAGTAATTTGTTCTCGGCTTGTGAACTTTTTTGGAGTGTCCTCGTAAATTCTCTGTTTTGGAAGACAAGAAAAATGAGGGCATATCAGGTGCAAATTTATCACTAAGCAATTTGTAGACTGTAATCAAGTTGCCTCTAGTTCTGCGATATGACAACGGGAAAAGGTTCAGATTGGCCAGTCGAGATTCATACGGAAGCTTCGCTATTCCGGGAATCAGCTTAGTCGCCGTTCTCTGAACCTTTTCCAGAAGCTCACTGTCTTTTTTTAAGCAGGGGCTAGCCGCTTGTATGCAGTACTCAAGTTTAGGACGAACGAACACTGTATGCAAAGTCAAAAACGTCTTAGCGTCGACATGACTAAAAGCTCTTTGTATTGACCATAGCGTTCTAAAACTTTTGGCGGCTATTGCACGGCAGTGTGCATTAACTTACTTCTTAGTTTTAATAAATCAGAGGACGACGTTTGGTCAAGATAACATATAAAAACGTGCAAAGTAGCACAGAACTGGCTCTGTCAGGATAATATATAGGTACAAAATAAACGAAATTTACTTTATTAATTCCTCTTGTAATATATGTTACTCTCCACTACAAATATATTCTGTACAATCAGACTGTGAAACATGAAGGAACTAGACCATTAAAAATATCAGTTTCAACTACATAGATGTATTTCTACCAGGCAAGGAAGGATAGGTCAGCTTACTGTGCTCCAAAAGTGAGCAGTTCAACTATAAGTTAACAGTTGTTCAGGAAATACAAGAATCGTGCATCTAATTATAAGCCATCTACACTAAGCGTTCCTAACAATCAGAACATACGTTTCAGTATCAGCGGGATAAAATAAAACCAATCAATTCACATAAAAACAACCACGGAGTAGTACTCTGTAGAATTATGGTCTAGTTCGTCATTAGTACTGCTATAATAATAGACCTAATTTCAAAATTGTAGATTTGTCATGATGTGAAAACCTAATATATTAGATCTTACGTGGAAGTCACATTATTGTCTATTTTGACTTGTCGTACCATAACAATAAGCTATATTTATTCAGTAATAACAACACATTCAAATCACTGATACAACAGAAACCGTTTGGCTGAAACGTCAATTACAATTACCCAACATTAATACCGAAAAACAGGTATGATTCTTAAATTTATCAGGTATATTTACTGACTGAGACATGTAAACACTCAGAAACGACACTAACTACGATTGGAGTCAAAATTATGGGGCTTTCAGATCCAGGTAATGAAACATCAGTATGACTGCATTAGACCAATATTACCGATGCATTGGTTCCATCGAGAGTAGAAATCGAGACTTTCGCAATAACGACTATCTGTGAGGTAGGTTGCTATAAATATACGTTCACCTCTTTATATATGAGTTGACAAGCTATCAATTTATTACCTGAAGATTAGAGACAAGATTATGTTGATGACTCTGTAAAGGACGGCTACTAACTCCTGTGGTACTATCAATAATACAGTAAACCTTCATCATCGCACTAGAAATTCAAATTCACAGTCTACGGTTTTCATTAATGCGGGGTGACGAGGACGTTTCTTACAGTAACTGTAGTTGGTGTGAGATTAGGGTTTTATTCATCTTTGCGACCTGTTATTGTTGGTGTGATATCAAAAAGAGTTAAGGTTTTTCACTCCTCGCAACCGAGGAGCAGGTCTTTTTTTGGAGTTCTGGGCCATCTGCGGTTATTTGAACAGTTTAGAAAACATATAAAGTTATTAAAGAGATCTATAATTTCGTTTTGGTTCATCCGATGTTTTTCCATGTTACTAGGGGTTTGAGGGCTGGTGATCTCCAGAATCCAGTCGTCAAAAAAGGCTAAGTAATCAGACGGGATATACTATGATAAAAGAAGAACAAGTTGAACCTATTGTAAAGTTTGATACAAGAAGACTTGTCAGAACACGCCTTCGTGGATAGTTTTCTGGTCCATAGCTTCGTTCACTCGTGACCGTATTTCTTAGACCGAGACATGTCCTAATTCCACATCATGAAGGAGTTAGTGTGGCGGCTAGAACTATTTAAATTATTGCACTAGCTAGAAATTCTCGAAACAGTGCAATTTACGCCAGAAAGAACTAGATGGACACTTTCACCGAACATGCGTATATCGGGGCTGAAAAGTCTACTGAAGCTCGGTTCTTCGACCCCATTGAGGATCTAGGACTGTCCGAAAATGTTGAGTAAGAAACTCGTTGAAGAGAAAGCCAAACATCGTTGCGCTTGGACTGGATATTTGCAAACAAAGGACTGCAAATTGACAACCTCTCAATCCTGGCTCCCTTAGGGAGAAGCGATCACGCCGTCATAGCCTTTAGTTTCATCATCAAAACTGAGCTAATACATCCTACCAACAAAAAGCGCTGTAATTTCAAGTGATTGGGTGTGTCAGCTTTACAGGTTAATCTACAGCGGGTGAATTGGGAGGTTCAGCCTCAACTTGATATGGATGCCCATCGGGATTTTTTACTACACACGATCTTATGTGGTACAAGGCAGTCTGTTCCTCAAATGGTCCCCAAAATCTACATCAACCTGCAATCACCAAGAACTACGATCTTCGTTTGCTAATCCGCAAAAGGCACTGCTGGGTGGCATACAAACGACCTGGTAACAACGGTGCATACATGCAATGAACTGGTATGCCTAATGTAACGTATTGTTGTCTAAGGATATACAGTATTATTATCATTATGAAACTGTATCCAATCCGAGGGCCTATTCCGTCATGCCGCCTCTTTTCGACAAGCTAGAGCCGGTGTTTTTCAGTTGCAAGGTCCTAATGGCCCAACCAACAACGATGGTGACGCCACCGTCGACCGGCTGTCAGAACAGCACTTTTGGTCGTTTCGAGGTTGATGTAATATACCTTGACTTCTCAAAAGCTTTCTTTTTATAAAGTGAATCATACATTTCGTATACATAAGCTCAAACGATTAGGTATGAAATCACCTTTAATTGATTGGCTTGCTTCATATTGAAATAATCGGCATCTTAAGGTCAGGCTTCATTTCACAATCTCTCAGGCTATGAAATAACCTAGCGGGGTACCCCAGGGTTTAGTACTAGGACCTCTTATTTTCCTAACTTACATAAACCAACTTCTACAGCCGGTATCGTCAGATATATCATTTTTCGCTAATGATGTGAAACTTTGGTGAGAAGTTTACAACCAGGAGAATAGATTGGCACTTCAGGAGGTACTGACCAGCCTTTATAGTTGTTCAGACAACAACTGACTTACGTTTAACACTTCAAAGTGTAAATTAGTCCATCTGTGACATGTTGCAGACTACAGCTACAACTTGGGCGACTACCCTCCAGAGTTATCCCAAGTTGAAAGAGATATGGGGGTGTTTGTACCCTACGATTTGAAGTCTAACGCTAACGGCGACAAATATGCCTTTCAATCACACCCTGCATTAGTAACATTGTATCTCATTTTTGGCCAGTTCGATGGAAGAACGGTCCACATAATATTCAACGGTCCTATTCGTCCCCATTTGTAGTACGGAAATATAGGATTCCCTCCTTTACTCCAGAAGGATAAGGGCACCTTGGAACGTATCCAACGGCGAGCCATGAAATCAGTTCGATGACACAAATTCAAGGCTTATGAAGAGCGTCTCCGATCACTAAATATTTACTCATTAGAGCACAGGCGTCCTAGATGTGACCATCTAAAGGCTTACAGCATCTTAAATACTTCTAGACATGCCCTCAAACACCCACCTAAGCTTGGTTCCAACACAAAACTTAGAGTAACACCTAGAAACCGGAGACACAACACAACAGAACAGACTGTAGACAGACCTTCTACTCCTTAAGAGTAGTTCAATGCTTGAATTCGTTGCCGGCCTGACTAGTCCAGGCGACTTCGCGAGAGTCCTTTAAGAGGATAGTATCTTACTATGATTTGCCAACTTTTTTCTCTCCTCTTTTGTTGACGATATACCTAGGTTCTTGCCTGGAAGTATTGGTGGTTCACTGTTACTAGATATGGAAACCCGTTAAGCGAAAGCTTCTTCTATTCCTTCCAAAACCATTTAAATCCTTACATGTTTAGGAATTTAGTTAGTCGTTGTAATTCAGTAATTAGAAATGTGTGAATTTAAGCAACTATTAAAGTCCCTAAGTTGCGTGAACTGGTTCGCCACTAAGAGGTCAGAAGGTTTGTTTGTCTATGCTAATTCACTTTATGGGTATTTTTGGAATTAGGGGTCATATTGTCAAACGTTACAGTTCTGAAAAGATGGTGAAAGAAGACATCCTGAGAGATTATCAATCAATGGGGGCCTTAAAGTATGAGAAGCTCAGTTTATTATATGATCTTAAGTGAAAGTTCGGAGTTGCTTTTGAAGACTCTAGGGGATATATACAGCGCAACTAGCTTCATGGAGGAAGAATCTATTAGACTAGTCCAATATGAGACGGAAATGCGGTGTCTGCTTGACGAGAGGTGTTTTATCCTCAACCAACTACAGAATGTCGAGCAAGATATATCTACGGTTAGTTCCTAGTGTTTAGTTACTTTTTAGTAATACTGTGTATGCTCCCCAACTTCCCTATTTTGGGGAAAATTTAAATGAATTTTGAGATTTTGTGCCATTTCTTTAAAATTTCCAAAGTTTTCCATTGCAGCTTCTCCAAAACGTATTCAAAACGGATGAAATTTCCCCTAATATAGGGAGATTGGGTCATATTAATCGTTGATAAATTTTCCGTGCCGGAAGTTGTTTCCACATAGGTATTCATGGGCTTGGTCGGGTATTTTCTGCGAACAAGCACTTCTTACATGTCAGACGAACAAAGGTTTTGCTGGGGACATAATTTATGGACGAACCAATCAGACATAAGATAACGAGTCACAAATTTTTGTGCGAAATTCATCCATACATTTGGCTAAATAGAGTTTTGGCATTATAGCTAATGTCAGTTCGTGATGAAAACCCTAAATCTAGTTTTTGACCCTAACTGTCATCTGTAAATGAGAATACCAACTGCTTTATAATCCTCATTTAGTCCTTATCAGTAGGTATCCGCTCTCAAGGCCACTTCAGCGTCGCTCTAAGGTCGTCCATAAATTATTTATTTATTTATTTTATTTATTTGAACACATAAATATTGGTACAAGAGAGCGCCAATATATATGCGCCACACAAAACAATGGGAATTCGAAGAGAAGTAGAAAGAAAAAAAGAAAAAAAAACTAAGGAACGCAAAAGAAAAAGAGAGTAATGACGAAGAGGTACAATCAGAAGAAATCTTTCAGGTAAAGGAGACACAACCACTTTTTATGAAGAAAGTAAAAGAAGGTTACAGCAGGATCGCCACTGGCTTCTATTCTGAGCCATATCTGATAACGTCTCTAGCCACTGTGTTGCACCATCTCTCGGACCCCAGCCAGGGAGTCGTGAAGGACCAACACAAGCCAGTCCTTTGCAGCTTTCTTTCATGCCACGACACCATGTCATGCACTGACCACCTCTCCGCTTCTTCCAACCAGTCCCAGAGTCGGCAAATAATGCACGACGTGGAATTCTCTGGGACGACATTCGGAGAACATGTCCAAGCCACCGAAGTCGGTGTTTCAAGATGGTGACACCAATTGAGTTATCATCTCTGTGCCCGAACACACGATGCCGAACCTCTGCATTACTGACATGGTGTTGCCACTGAATGTCAGCAATCCTTCGGAGACAGCGATGATCGAACACAGAGAGTCGTCTAACGTCCTCAACTCGGAGAGGCCAGGTTTCACAAGCATAGAGCAAAACTGCTCTCACCGACGCGTTGTAGATCCGGCCTTTTACAGCCAGACTAACATCACGAAGGCGCCAAAGGTGGCCCAGATTGGCATAAGCCGCTCCGGCTTTCACTATTCGTGCATTGATCTCATCACTCACACCCCCACCAGCACTTATGTAGCTACCCAGATACACGAACTTCTCAACTACGTCTATCTGCTCACCATCCAGGGTGAGTACAGGATTAGAATCCTGCCAGTCTTGTAGAAGTACTTTGCACTTCGAAGGTGCAAAGCACATACCATACCTACGGACACTGATTGCCAACTGATTAAGTGCGGATTGCATGCCTTGGGCATTATCGCACAGTAAGACAATATCGTCCGCATACTCAAGGTCGAGAAGTCTTTCTCCAGGCAACAGATCCACACCACCATTACTTACATTCATCAGAGCTGTTTCCAGAATGTCATCGATGGCAAAGTTGAAGAGGAATGGTGAGATTGGGCAACCCTGCCTAACCCCACTGCTCGAATGGAACAATGGAGAGAGGTGGTTGTATGCCCTCACTCTGCCTGAGGTGTTTTTATACAGGGCTTTTAGGATGTTAATAAACTTCTCAGGCACACCCTTCTTCAATAGACAATCCCAGAGAACAGTCCTATCCAACGAATCGAAGGCAGCCCTGATGTCAAGAAACACTACGATTGTTGGCCTTTGAAAAGTATGGCGGTGTTCTAACATTTGGCGGAGGGTGAAGATATGATCAATACATCCTCGACCAGAACGAAACCCAGCCTGCTCCTCGCGAGTCAATCTTTCTCGGGTTTTGAACAACCTACGAAGAATGACGGAAGCCAATAGCTTGGACGCAATCGGAAGCAAACTTATCCCCCGATAGTTGTTACAAGAACGACGTGAACCCTTTTTAAAGATAGGGACAACTATCGACTCATTCCATGACGTTGGTACACTCTCTAGATCCCAAACCTTTGTAAACAACGTCGTCAATTCCTTAGTCAAAAAGTCACCACCATCTTTAAAAAGAGCCGGAGGTAAGTCATCTGGGCCAGGTGATTTGTAACGCTTCAAGAGTTGGAGTTCCTTGCGGACTTCCTCCTCATTTGGTGGATCAGTCGTCACCGGCCATGGAGGGCAGGACAGTCTGACCGATGTTGCCGGAGCAGCAGGCCAGTTGAACTGCCCTTCGAAAAATTCTGCCCATCGTCCAAGACGTCGATGGATGTTAGTGATTGGCATCCCATCATCCCCGCAGATTGTTTCACTCACACCAGACTTCTTGCTGCCAGTGGCTCGGATGAGTTGGAAGAGCTTCCGGTAGTTACCAGATGCAGCTGCTGCTTCCAGCTCATTAGCACGCATCGACCACCAGGCTTCTCGGTCCTTACGCAAGCTTTGCCCGATTTCCTTACGTAAAAACCTTCGTTTATGGTCAAACTCACGGTTACCCGGAGTAGACCGACGGGCTTCAATGAGTTGTAAGGAACCAGAAGAAACCCAGTGCTTAAAAGCGGGACGTTTCGCAAACCCACAACTGACTGTTCCCGCCATTTTCATGGCGTCATGCAATTGCAACCAATGCTCATCTATACTTTTCGGTGGAGTGGTAGCTAGCCTAGAGGCTAGCTCGGTTCGATACTTACTTGCAACAGAAGTTGCAACCAGCTTGCTAACATCAATCCGTTGATGGCGTTCACTTCGTTGTCCACTGAAAAGTAAGGCAAGATTGGCGCAGTCCAAGGCATGGTCAGAGTCCAGATAGGTACTCCAAAAGGAGCGGCAGTCTTGTACACAACCACGCCAGCGGTAGCTGATCGCGATGTGATCAATCTGAGTCCAGGCTTGAGATGCAGAGCGAGGACGCCAGGTGGCACATCGGCGATGACTGTGCCGAAAGTTAGTGCTAGCCAGAAACAGGTTGTGGTCTGCGCAAAGTTGCAGTAGACGGTCCCCGTTATCTGACCTGCGACCAACGAGTCCCCATCGGCCACCTAAACGACTCTCTTCTGTGCCTAGACGCCCGACCTGAGCATTCAAGTCTCCGGCTAGTACTACAATATCTGTCGAACGCACTTTCTGGAGAAGAACTGATAACTGGTGGTAAAACTCATCCTTGATTGCATCCGGGCTGCAATCTGTCGGGGCATAGGCGGAGATGACGAAAAGACATCGTTTCTCACGCCGATTTCTTCTCACTTTGATGGAACTTTCTAATCTAACAGCACATAACCGACTGTTGATGGGGATCCAATCGACTAGTGCTGCCTCAGCTCTAGCGCTTGGTGCGACACCAACGCCAGCAAAACCAGACGAAGATGCCACAGGGTCTTTGGATAAGCGCACGTAAAACAAGCTTTTCGAAGCGACAGATGGAGATCGAATTTGTAGTACTTCGCCAGAGTCTTGAATACGGGTCTCGGATAGACAACACACGTCGATATTAAGACTTTCCAAAGACATAGCCAGCCCTATCTGTTGTCCGACCTGCATAAATGTGCGAACGTTGAAGGCAGCCAGTTTGAATGGTGCACGTGGTTTCAGAAAATCTGCTTCAGTCCTCGTATTCGGTGGTAACATACAATTTTCAACCGGACAGTGACTCGAGAACGTTTAGATACAGTCGGAATTCCATCAAAGACGAGCCGCTGTATAAGTATAAATGAAGGTGAATAATGTGGAAAATAATAATTATAATGATGATAATAACAATAATGACAATAATAGTAGTAATAATAATATTAGTATTAATAATGACAATAATTGTAGTGATCATAATTTGAATCAATTGATTGTTTTTCAAAGCGACAAAAGTAATTTCCATAGACATAAAGAGTTCATCATTTGTGTGTGGGCTGTGATACTGCCCGGGTGCCCAAACCGAAGCAGGTGGTTATCTTAGGGGGCCACTCCCCGAGCCTTTGACCTAAAGGTCTAACCCACAAGGCAGTGGAGCATCGTAAGGAGATGCAGTCCCATGGTAGCCGGTGACCAACGATTGGTTCATACGCCATTCGTTCCCGCAGGATACTGGAGCCCATGTGCACCATTGGTTTGGAATCCGGTTAAAGCGCCGGACATTCGCTTCTCGTCCTCTCATTTTCGTAAACAACACCCCCGCCACGAGAAGGCAATGAGTAGGACTTCCCTGGCAGAGGCTATATACGCGTGGCCGTGTGAGAGTATTTCGAGAGGGAGAGCGGACTCTCCCCACTCTCGGTCGTACCAGGGCATTCAGGGGGCGTCCTATAACTAATTAAAGAGCTTTTGAATTTAAGCAATGACAAAAAACCAATACGACATGCAACATAATATACCGAATTTTCTTCAATACACGAAAATTACAAAAAGCGTACGATTTGCAAACAGAAACGTTGTTAACAATCTTATGTCCATAAATTATAGTCTCACCGCTTTCTTCAAGGTCTGGGGAAAAATTTGGGGAATACTCGAAATTTCCCAAAGTGACTTGAAGTATTAGAAAAAACTCAGACAAGGAGGAATTTTATGGTTTTTGTCGCACTTTCCCTAAGTTCCATTCCAACTTCCCGGAAATCCAAACGTAATGAAATTTCCTGCAAAATCGGGAGACTTGGTCAGTGTTCCTTCAATATACTTTAAGTTTTGACTTGTTCTTTAGCCTCACCCACAGAACTGTTAAGTTCAATAAGCACTTTGACCTAGTTTTTCACTGGTATCTAGAAGTATCGTTTGAATTCTTGTTTTGTATATATGTTTTCCGAGAAGCGCTCGGATAGCCGAGTTAGTTTTGTAATGACAGACCTCTTGTAGCATACTATTTGAAACTTCATCGCAGATATCAATTGGAAAATACTTTATATGCATTTTATTTTATGTGGGTTGTTTTGTGATAGTGCATGTTAATTCCTGTTTCGAACCAGCTTGTATTAATTCTGGGTTTGACTTCAAAATTTATCTCGGTGTGCTAATGTAGTATGACAGCTTGGACCCATGCACATGTCGCACATTCAATCTTGCGTACGATTGACTGACAAAGTAACAGAAAATACATGCAAGGGTTAACAAAACTCGAAATAGTAACTCGTCGTTGAAGCATATTAGGTTGCTTTCTAAGTGGATATTGCGTGGGGGACCTTGTGTCTGTCTGTAATCTAAGTTAATAACCAGAATTGCAGAGTTTCAAGTGATCAGCCCCTAGTTTTTGTGATCGAACTTAAGGTGCACAACATTCTACCATTGGCAACATCTAATTATATGGACCGAAACTAGAAAGTGAAATTCCTAGCTTAGAAGTTTAGTGCATAGCTCATAAAATCACATTTCAGTTATCAAAATTAATCATAATGGCAATATAGAACCTCCAACCTGCAGGTTATTATCAATCATGTTTTATTTAATTAGATTAAACGCGAGTCCATAACCTAGTCAGTTAGTCCATGTTTTGGTTGCTTCTAGTCTCCATTGTTTCACGTAAAAATAAACTATTTAAACTCACGTAGTTAATATGTTAAACAAAGCATACTGTCTTCCTAAAACCTAGGTGCTGACTGCTACTTTCCCTCTGAAGTAGGTTACCAAACCATATCGTTAACTAAGACACACTGAAAGCAATTATAACTCAAGTGTCATGATCACTCGGTTATAAAGTAACAAATATAAATTGAATTAATCTGAAATCAAGTTCTCTTAAACCGTGAGGATAAAATTACTCTGTACCTTTCTTTCTACGAACTCACCCTTCCTTCCTGTATCATATTCTTATACACAATCTTTCTTTTATATATTATCACCATCGAAGTTACTACTTCTGTGAATTTGGTGTTCATCTTGTTGTGCTAACGAGGTATGACACCTTGAACTGATGTATAAATGTGCCTAGTCTCACGTTGTAGCGGACTGACTGACCGACCCGAAAGGGGAACTGGGTTAGTAGTAGTCTCAGCAACCTGAAAGTGTGACCCAAGGGACCACTGTTCGAGGCATTTCGGAAGTCCCTATCGTCAGAGACGGTCACTCGTGGGGTAGTGTGGCATTTTTAGGGTCAAGCTTTCCTAATCCCCTCATTTCGTCGTGAGGGCTGTGGATGCCGGTTATCTGAGGAAAACATCTTGCTGTCACCACACCTGTACAGTTAACAGTACGACTTCGCTCTCGAACCAAGAGCTTACTGCTTTTAGTCTTACCGTGCTCCAACCGACTTGTCTGTCATGATAGGACATAAAGGAACAATTGTCCCAGCTGATATACCTCGATTAGGTCAATATGATATTCAAACTCGACCACCACGTCGAGGTAGCAACCACAGTCTACCCGACGGACAGATAACAGTAACTACCTGCTACAATTTCTCTCAGAAAACCGACCATTCCTAGCAGGTAAAAATTTGAGACATAAGCACAGACACTGTTCAAACTGGGAACCCCCAACACAAACACAGTGTTGAACACGAGCGGATTTATCCCCATCACGCATCGTTAGAGGCTCGATTGAAAACTGCTGCTATTACTAAAGTACACACATGGATTATGATCATGCCGCAGTAAATATACGCATCTATGCATTTCACTAAACGTATGGAAGTCACAGCAAGAAAATTACTTAGGTGTCAACTGAAGAACATCTGGAACTCAAAACAAATGTCAACCAACACCAAGGTCAGAACTTTCAATACAAATGTCAAGACAGTTCTACTGTATGGGGCGGGAACCTGGAGAACTACGAAAGCCATCATCCACAAGATACAGGTGTTTATCAACAGTTGTCTACGCAAAATACTTCAGGTCCGTTGGCCAGACACTATCAGCTACAATGTACTGTGGGAGAGAACAAACCAGATCCCAGCGGAGGAAGAAATCAGGAAGAAGCGCTGGAAGTGGGTAGGACACACATTGAGGATAGCATCCAACTGCGTCACGATGCAAGCCCTCACATGGAATCCTGAAAGCCAAAGGAGAAGAGTAAGACCAAAAAACACATTATGCCGAGAAATGGAGACAGACATGAGAAATATGAACAAAAATTGGATAGAACTGGAAAGGAAGGCCCAGGACATAGTGGGTTGGAGAATGCTGGTCGGCGGCCTATGCTCCATCGGGAGTAACAGGTGTAAGTAAGTAAGTAATGCATTTCACTAAACATAGGGAAGTCACAGCAAGAAGATTCCTTAGGTGTCGATTTGAAGATGAAAAGATCAACGACGCATTCAGGGGAAAATTAGCTAAGGACCTAGTCGGGTGTAGAGAAATAGTTCATCTTAAAGAAGCTTGGAAAAATATCCAAGCAGCCGCAAATACAACCGTTGCATCTATCAATTTCTGAAATCAAAAAGTTAGGAAAACCCAGTGGATCTCGATGGCATCTACTGAGTTGATAAAAGCCCAAAAAATCATCCCGACAAGCTTTGAGAATGATAATAAGCAACTATAACTCAAACATGAACCAACAAAATGTTTACCTAATGGTCGTGGGGAGCGATGAAAAACGAAAAAGAGATGGAGAGGGCAACAACGATAAGTTATAGCAGACAATTGTTCATACTCATCAACGAAGTGGGTATTAAAAGGTAAGTGTTGATGACACCATCCCATTAAAGAACGGGACTATTATTTTTCTAATGTCGTCATAGATGTCCTCCTAGGAATAACACTCTTCATCTAACTTCTCAGGAGTTGATCTCTTCCCAGGATATCCACTAGTTGACTTACAATACTCGAGTGATAGTCCTGTTTAGTAAAGGTGGTGATAAAATTCACTCTTCTGACCGCTTCTATCAACAGTGCAAACATGTGAGAAATGTTGCTTCAAGACTGGTCTGTGTCACCGCTTGAACTATTGATAGGGAGTGAAGTAGTTGAGCGTGTCGACCACTTTGGGAAGTCTCATCAGTCTCGGTGGGTTGGCGTCTCATGAGATCTCGACACAAACCCAGGAAGTTCGGTTGGCCTTTGGCAACTTTCGTCACGTGTTGTGTAAGTGAGATATCCATCTGCTAACCAAGGGCATGTGAAAAATGATCGTTGATCGCAGAAGAGATGCGTAGACTAAAGGTTTTTAATCATAGGTGTCCTCGAAGCATTGCTCACATTTCGTGGGACGACTAAGTGGGCAGTGTGGACGATGAGCATAGGTATTTGATGATGATGGGGAATCGGCTGATAAGGTTGTATATCATTGGCTGTGGTAGTATGTTTATATATATTTTTTGCTTAACCACTGCCTACCTAGACAAGTGATGCTTACTAGTGCAAATTTTAGAAAAATATCTTGAGCGGCCTAACCGTGACGTGGCATCAGTTCATGATAGTCATTGCCTGTTGTTCTGATCCATGTTGGTAGAAACGAGCTACCTGGTCAGACTCCATGTCGTAACTTCGATCAGGTTTCATGTCTCAAAATAATTCATAATGACCTATATGGATTCACTCTTTACTTTCCTCTCGATCTTCATTCCCAACAAAAGGTTTCCTCAGGATTCTGGAGCCCATGTACACCACTAATTAGAAATCAGGGTTTTCCAACCTCCAACCCGGTTAAGGCGCCGAACATTCGCTTCTCGTCTTCTCAGTTTCGTAAAAAACACCCCCGTCATAAAAATGCAAGGTAGGACTTCCCTGGCAGAAGCTCTATACATGTGGTAATTTGAGAGCATTTCGAGAGGGCGAGTGGACTTTCTTCACCCTTGGCCGTACCAGGGTATTTGGGTACACGGGCACAGGACCTCAGTCTCTGGCGACGAAAGCTTAACTTCTAGGCCACTGAGATGTTGTCCGGTCGTTTGCGTGTTTAGCTTCAATCAGTTCGGTATATCGTCCAGCCATTTTTAATGGTTACTTAATTAAGATCCTTTGGCGATGTTAAGTATATCATTAAATAGGCTTCACAACTACACTCCTATGTGGTAATAATCTGTTTGGGTTGGATTATACTCACTAGTAATGTTTTTCGTAATATTTTATTATTTTAGTCGACAAATCTTTGAATAAAGTATTCATTAACGCCAAATTACTTTTTACAGCTAGGAGCAATAGTGCGTCAAGCTTGGTCTGATCGAAACAAGAGTGTTTTTTGCATTCAAAAGCTGTACGGTGAATATAGTCAACTTTTAAATAACATAAACAAACACAGAAAAGACTTTGATTTAGCACCTTTGCGGAATCCATACAAACCTCCCAAAGAAGTGTTTGAAGATCATAAGTAAGCCACATATATACCTCAAAAAGTTATATTAGTGGTCATTTTATTTTGTTTTAAAAGGTAGGCTTAGTTATATAGTTAGTACATTCTATGTTCCAGATCCAACACACAGATAGCAGTAGCCATTTACTGTGACTATGCTTTGACATCCACTCATTCTCAGAAAATCAGAACTTTAAACATAAAGAGAGAAACTATTCAAAATGGCAATCGACAAAGTCATCGGTAGATATTTACTATACTGTGATCGTTCACTGTTGCTTGTTTCCAGTACATATTTAGACTCTAACCGTGCTTTGTTTTAAGGTCTTTCGTGTCTACTTCTTAGTGGCGTCAAAAACACTAAGAAACAAAAGCAACTCAACTTATCGTAAACGGTGGTTGGTAACAAACGTTAACGATGTGAGAATATCAATGATAAATAATAGTATGTAACTGTTTGGTACTATCAAGGGAAAGTAGCTAGAATGTAATTAATTAGTGGAAATATCTTATATAAATACAGATCATTGATTTACTCTCAAAGCGGTTGGTTGGAAGAATACATGTAACACTGAGTGAGTTCGGGTTGGCTCCAATTAACTTTCATTTATTTGATTTCCATCAGCAACCTGAGTGGAAGCTTGAATCCTCGCAAAGTTGAGCAGCTTATAACCATTTTAAAGAGAGAAGGGGTAGAAATCAGTGCGTTAAACCCAGAGTTCTTGAGGATAGTGATGTAGAGTTAGTTAAACTGAATAAATTATTAGATGAAACAGTATTAATTATTAGTTGTTCTAGTTCATAAAAAACAAACTGAAATTTTGCGATTTATTTGTCCTACGAACACGCTCTGTAATACAGTTAAATCAGTCTGGGCGAAACTATAGTCCAAAACGCGGTCATTAATACTTCATTTGTTTATCAAGTACAGATTAGTAAGGAAATATGAAATATAACTGGTTATAAAAAGGAGAGTAAAACATACAAAATATTGATGAGAGGTCGAACAGAATAAATATCTATGGAAAACAGTTGTACTTACGAAGAGTACAATCTTCATCAGCTTGCAGTTTAGTAGAGATAGGCCATACTAAAGTCAAGCTTATGGTTTTTGACGTTTAAAAGTAAGATATAATTGGTCACTTCGGTCGTAAAAATAACTTACAGAAGTCTTCTGGTGATAAGGTTCAGGAAATTATTTTAATAACAATATTTTTTGAGACCGATGAATATATGTGCCTAGTTTCACGTTGTAGCTGACTGACTTACTCTGCGGGCTTACAAATGATGTGAATATCTCCTCTTACCATAAGTGTTTTGTACGTAAGCCTGTTATTTTACTAACTGACTAGTTTACTAACAAAAAGTGTTTGGATGCCGTGCTTTTCTAGATCTATCTGTTTATGGTTTTTGTATCACTATTTGTAGCTGATCGTTTGTCATCACATTCACATCAGTACGTTCTAATTAGCATCCAAACACAGTTTTAATCATAAGTTTCCCCGTCTTAATGCAAAACTTTTTCTATGGGAATACCACCTTTAGGTAAGACAACAATCATAATGGAGCTTAAGGACCTTATTTACTTTATTAAAATCAGAATCAAGAATTATCGCGTGGAATTATTTTATTTCTGAAGTCAGTTGTAAAAAACATTCGAAGCTTAAGTATGTAAATTTTCAACTTTTCAGGGACATCGCCAAGGTCATTTGCAATGAGACAAATGGATTAGAAAACGAGTCAAATAAAAAATATCTAAGTTCCAAGCAGTTTTTATCGGAGAACGGGTGTGAAATAGAGTCAAAAGTACGACAAGGCAAAAAAGCAAGTCACAAAAACACAAAGCTACAGCAAAACTCAAGCATAAAAACAAGTAGCGAAGATGTCAAGGACGTTCAAGTTTCGAAAAGAGATCACGGAGACGATCATAAACCATTGTACAATCCTAATGAAATTATTGCGACGGATAATGTAATCCTATCTACCGCGGAGATGGAAAATAATAAGAATGGTGGGTTAACCTCATTCCACTTCACTACTGTCATCAGTTTTCAATAACCATGTGAATCATTAGTTCTCTTAGGGTTAGCTATTTATTGAAAAAAAGCATAGTTTGGATATTCCCTTAATGAAAGTAGCATCACAAAAACTAGTGTATAAGATTCTTGTTCCGCTGATGACGGCTGTCAACATATCATCCCATGAAAACCAGGGATATCTAATCGATTCTGTCTTGGATTGTTCTTCAGAGTTGTTGCCAAATACTATTGGTGGTCTTGACATCTTTCTTCGATTTCCAACTTCATGCGCGTTTTAGTTTCCTTCTTTTCTTTTCGCTTTGAGAGTATCATGTTAAGGCTTGGAACCGTGATTCAGTTAAATGATTTCCGTACAGTGTCTTATCCATCTCCAGCTTCTTTTCTTAATTTCCTCCTCAACTGGCAGCTGACTTGTTCTTGTCCAGCGTAGGTTATTGCTAGTAGTCTAGCCAATGTGTCTGGAGTACCTTGAGTCGCAACTAGTTATGAATACCTGATGATGGTGCTGGTAGTCTTTCAAGTTTCAACCCAACACAATAGAACTGTTTTAATGTTTGCGTTGAGAATCCCGAGTTTGGTGTTGAGTAACAGTTCTTTTGTATGAATATCGTCTTCGCTTGGCAATTCGTGCCTTCACATTTGCACCAAGTCCTTCATGTTTATCGATGATGCTGTCCAGGTGGGCACCCAAGCGCTTCCATCTCTGTCAGAGCTTTGCCACCGAATGGAACTTGTTTGATGCTCACTATTGTATTTCAGAGTCTTGCTTCCTCACTTGCAAATTTTAATGTCTTTCTGCGTGGGTTGCTGCAACACTGATAAACCACGTGCATTTATCGTTGTGCATGTGATAACATGGCTAAATGATATTTAAAGTCCAAATCGTCCAGCTGCGTCCAAAGTATCTTACTGTATTCCATCCTCTTCACGAGAACTGGAGGTCCTCATAATGCAGCCAACAACCAGAAGAAAGGTATGAGACGGGAGTAAGCACTTGGGATGGACGTGTGAGATTTCTTGCATGCAAGACTGCGATTTGGCCCTTCGTAGGAGCTCTGCATGATGGTGACGACTCAGGTACTCCGTAATGTCGAAGAAGGTTCCACAGGGTCCTCCTATCCGTGCTATTGAATGCTTCCTCGTAGTCAGAGAAGTTGATGTATGGTGATGAGCTTCATTTTAGTGATTGTTCAACAGTGATCCGCAGTGTCACTACATGGGTGTCTAGAGAATCTCTCATTTAGGCCAATAACAGCCTGTCAAGAACTGTGCCTAGTACTAACGGAAGTGTAATTTTTCTGTCGTTTTCAGACTTTTTATTTATTTTTAAAATCAACCAACTTTTTTATCGTTAAGCTAAGTTCTAACAGGATTTCCCAGTGCAACATCTTGGACCATAAAAAGGAAGCGTTCTGAAGCCAAAGCATGATCACATTTTAGATGTGTCCAAGGAGCGGCAGTCTCCTACTGAACGATATCTGATGGGATTTACTTATTTACTTCCTTGAGCTAATGTCGGAATCGCTGTGTCAGGCAATGTTGCTTCTCAATGCCTTAGTTGGTTCTTACTAAAAATTAATGGTCGTCTATGTACAAGTGCACCACGCGATCTCGATTATCTGTGCTGGTGTCCACCAGTGTCTTTATCTAGGGTTTGCTTTCCTACTTGGATGCTGTTGGGATATTCAGGAAAATATCCCAAAAATTATCCTCTTAAGGCTAATGCTATCCTTGGACATGAAATGGTATCATCTTATTGGTCAATATTTATTTAACGTGTCATTTTCCTACTGGCCATTATTGTACAATGTTATTTTCTATTTTATGGTACGTTGTGGTCTGCTTGACTGGTATATAAACAAAGTATGTTTGAAATATAATGATTCATATATCCGAGGCTGAAACTTGTGTTCTGGACTCAATTGGCTGAGCTAGACAGGGAAGCGAGACCAATCAGAACCCTAGGTTGTTCTACGTGTTTGCGCGTCTTTGGTCCGATCAATAATTCGCTACCCTCAATCAGCAGCATTCATTTTTCACGTTATAACAGACGCTTAGATCACTATCAACAAGTGTCTAGCTTTTTAAAAGGATCAAGCTCCGTGTAAATTGGTCTAATCAGTTCATCAAAACTGCAGTGAATAAAAGCGTAGACGAAAACTACGCGTAACCTGACGTCTCGCTTACATTTGATTGGACACTTAATGTAAGACTGTTGAGGTGAATTTATTTTGTCGGAGTTTGTTCTACTTTCCAAATTCATTCTCTTACGTCATGAAAACGCAGGAAGCTTTCAAATAACCAGATATTTGAATGGTAAATCGCACTGGTCTTCCAAGGTGATTAGATAAGACCACTTGGATCCTCCATGATTTTCAGAAACAGTATTTGTCACTGACACGATAATTTAGAGCCTTACCTAATGAAGCCTCTGTGTGATTGACACTAAAAGTTTCGATACCTAGTTTAGAGCTTGATTTAGAAGACCAGGAAAGGACTTCGTGAATACACGAAGTCAGCGTTATTGGGACATAGAAGAAAAAGTTGTATCTAGAAGAGATGTTAACGGCATCGATAGGATACATTTTTAGGAATGGAGGATGGATATTATCGTTAACTAGGTGAGTATGACTAGTTATGACTTCACGGTAACCCACACTTTAAAAGAAGTCTTTCTTAAGAAATTCATATAGCAAAATAGGTTAGAAGTGTTGTCGACATTTAAGGCACAGAAGCTAGGCCCAAGTAACAACTACCTAAGACAGGGACACGGGATTTTTGTAAGTTATGAGTGTACTAACTCTGTACTTTTCTGATCATCGGCACTGTAAATCTGTGTCGAGGTGAAATGTACTGTTTTTAGGGCTGACCATTTCTAGCCGTTCCATCCAGACAACACAATGTTGTCAGAGGAGCTGCTTATTCGTTAAATACCCTTCACTCCCATCACAGCCCAATTCAATCGCTTGCGCGACGATACTCATATACTTCATTGCTATTTAACCAACCTGCTTGGTATAACAGAACATCAGAAATAAGTGTTTCAGCCAATAAAGCCCTTCAGGGTCATTACGGTAATGTAATGATAAGGTAAGTAACCACGGTCAGAAATTTTTTTACGTGTTACTGGTTTAATTTGGTTTTAAATGTTCTGTAGGTATCCAATCTTCAAGCTAAGATTGATAAAAATTGAAATCAAGATTTATCAGTCTTGTCGTTAATCTTACTTTGTTTTAATTTTTCACTAGACAGTGAAGTACTTGATGACTTTCCCTTTAACGAAGAAAGAAATAAGCGTGAAGGAGGCGTGCACAATCGTAATTTTAGCGTTTCACCGTGGCCGAATAACGAACATTTCCAGGTTAACTTTCGCAGATATACAAGTTTGTCTGATTGTAATCTAGACCATATCAGTTCGGAATCTCCGTCAACTTCCCTACGTAATCAGGTCAAGTCAGTTAGTCTAGATTTTGGTGAGTCATTGCTCCATACAAACGAATCTCAGTTGATCGCACAATGTCCACCCATGAAGACATGTCAAGCGTGTCAACAGTTGATTCATCGAAACGCTCCAATATGCCCACTATGTAAAACTAAAAGCAGATCAAGGAATCCAAAAAAACCAAAATCACGTCCAGTTATTCAGGTTACAGATATGCCAAATTCAGCAACAGGCGTCTCTTTGGCGTTGGGTCTGCTACGTGATCACCATGAGTAAAAAAATCAATACACCATTCGGTTAACTGTCTATCTTACTTAGCGGTTTTACTTTTGAAATTTATATGTGTAATAGGTATCATGATCTTTACCAATATGACGTTCATGATGACTTTAAACAGCTATATATATATATAATTGCTTTCTGTGCATTTTAAATGTTAATCCACTAAAAACAAAATTGCTTCGTTTATACTTTAAAAGCTTTATAATCAAGTGTCCAGAAAATTCATACTTATAACCCTCTGCAACTAGTATATGCGACCTCTAATTTTAATTAAAGATACCGTGACAAGGTTTCAAACAGGTATCAGTCCATTATGCTTTCCTATATGGGATAACCTAGGTGACTACTTCCTTGGGATCAAAAGCACCACACAATTGTTCAGTGATTTAAGCACTCGGACATCGAAAGTTAGCTTAAAACGCATTCCACTTAATAATTTAGTAGTATCTTTAGCCTTCATACTCTAGCTTTTAATTAGTCATTAATCTCAACACATAGTAATCTGCTGACAACAAGATAATTATTTTGGGACAGTTGCTTCATCGGTTCTCACTATAGTGCATCAGTTCATGTGGTCATATTTTACGAGTACACAGAAAAACAAAAAAAATACCCACATTTGTATCAATGGATCGCCACCACACAGTTAATGCTTTAAAAGTAAACAAACAAAGTACTGAAACCCTTTAGGCTTTTCATATTTTCTTTAGTAGTTATCACAGCTTGCAGTCACGGGACTTCGTTTTTCAACCTATCATACGACCAAGCTAGCTTTTAAGAATTATCTGGTATCTATTAGATATGAGAACCAACCTACGGATCCTAAGACGTTGACCTAGACATTTACATTTTACGTGCCTACTACTAACTGATTGAGTTTTTAGATTGATTAGTTCTAGAAAGGTATGTGAAATCACACATTATTTCGTCGAATACACTTCGGATGATAACTACAACACTAACTCATACCTGAGATATAAGTTCATGTTTCAGTTCAAAAATGGCGTTTCTTGTTTCAGCGTGGTCAGCACGTTTGAAATCGAGGATGCCATTCGCTATTCTTCAGTCCCAGTGAGGTTTGGAAGAGTAGTAGTCAAAACAATTATTTATTAGGGGCATCATATGTAAAAACCTGATAGGTTATTGGTTCACACTAGTCCTGTTACCTTAGTTTAATGGTTGTCTTAACTAATAATTCCTGACTATTACTACTTGGGTGTTGATCATTTTAATTAGGGTTATCAATTGTTCAAAGATCAAACAGAATGTCTTGATATTTTTCTCCAATCTAGAGGTAGGTGTAGTCACAGTTTAAGCATCAAGGGTGGTTTAACAAATCGTTAAGTTCACTCCTCGCCAATTAATGTCCTTTTGAAGTGACGATGTAACCGGGACTGCCTATTTGGTTTCTTAAACCAGGGTTTGAACATTTTAGTTGTTTGTGACATCAAATTCAAATAGATGAGTATACAGGTGGGGAAAGTAGATATCCTCCCAGCCCTTTAAATAGGACAGAAGTGACTAACAACTAGGACTAGGAACATGTCTTGACTTTAAAATAAATGCTATTTCGATACCCACAACTTTACGTGGTCGAAAGAGTCAGTTGCACCAACTGGCTTAATTGGTTGCATGAGATAAGGTAAGTTAACATAAAAAACATTTAGCCCAACATGTTAAAACCGACTAATTCAACATGGGGTTGTGACGTTGGATTCTGTAATCTCCAACTATTCGGAGCGAACAAAAACTAAAAAGACAAATCCAGGTAACGGAAAGGCTGACGGCCTAATTTTGGTTCCATGAATTTAGAAAATTAACGAGTTAATAGTAGGGATAAGAAATTCGCTTTTTTATTTAGTATCACCAAAACAGTTTTACGATTTCAACATATTTTGACTTCTATGAACCTTATACATGGAGTTAATATAATTGTTCTCTTTGGTTCATCTTCACATCGGTTGGGTTTGAATGTGCATACTTGTGCCGTCTATTTTGACTTGACTAGGGTCATACGGAGTTCCTCGAAAAGGTGAACCCTCTTTGTTCCAAGCATTGGCGAGTATGTTTTTCATTTTCTGAAATAATTAGAAAAGAAAATGATATGTTCAGGATTTATATTTGCATATATACCGATTTAGTGTTTGTTTAAGATTTTTTATGACTTCGAATATTTAAGACAAGGAAATTCGTAATTTTAATAGAGGTATTACTAAAGACCATTCACTAAGCTTTTAACATCTGGGATCCTTACAGCCACCAAACAATCTTGATAAGGTAGCATATACGAAGAATGATTATTTAATCTCCAATAATTTACAAGTTCTGGATGGCCTAACGGTGCCTCTAAGTAGCGATGGGCTCAACATAGTTCCTACAATTTTGATCTCATAAATATTTACAAAGTAATGTAAATGGATGAACAGCAGATGCTAATAGAATCAACACTTACTTCTTGTTCGCTAGTAAGTAGTCCTTGGCGTTTGCGCTGTTCATCGTACATTAACTGTTGGATTTTAGCCTGCGCCTCATCGTCTAGTTCGTGCATAGGCCGAGAGCAATCGATTTTCCGTGTGTTTAGTTTGTCTTCTCCGTCAAAAGCAGCTTCCCACCACCGTTCCTGAACCTTGTCAAGACACAGCTGGATCTTGATTGAAAAAATAATAACTTGAGCAAACATTCGTTACAGCAGTTATATCACGTAATATAAAAATGATTGAATAAAGGGTTTGAATGATACTCAGAATTAAATATAAACAATAACCATATCCTTGACTCAGGGGAGTACAAAACCAAATATTCATTTACAACCGACCCCCCCCCCATCATCATCAAGTACCTATGCTCATCGTCCACACTGCCCACTTAGTCGTCCCACGAAATGTGAGCAATGCTTCGAGGACACCTATGATTAAAAACCTTTAGTCTACGCATCTCTTCTGCGATCAACGATCATTTTTCACATGCCCTTGGTTAGCAGATGGATATCTCACTTACACAACACGTGACGAAAGTTGCCAAAGGCCAACCGAACTTCCTGGGTTTGTGTCGAGATCTCATGAGACGCCAACCCACCGAGACTGATGAGACTTCCCAAAGTGGTCGACACGCTCAACTACTTCACTCCCTATCAATAGTTCAAGCGGTGACACAGACCAGTCTTGAAGCAACATTTCTCACATGTTTGCACTGTTGATAGAAGCGGTCAGAAGAGTGAATTTTATCACCACCTTTACTAAACAGGACTATCACTCGAGTATTGTAAGTCAACTAGTGGATATCCTGGGAAGAGATCAACTCCTGAGAAGTTAGATGAAGAGTGTTATTCCTAGGAGGACATCTATGACGACATTAGAAAAATAATAGTCCCGTTCTTTAATGGGATGGTGTCATCAACACTTACCTTTTAATACCCACTTCGTTGATGAGTATGAACAATTGTCTGCTATAACTTATCGTTGTTGCCCTCTCCATCTCTTTTTCGTTTTTCATCGCTCCCCACGACCATTAGGTAAACATTTTGTTGGTTCATGTTTGAGTTATAGTTGCTTATTATCATTCTCAAAGCTTGTCGGGATGATTTTTTGGGCTTTTATCAACTCAGTAGATGCCATCGAGATCCACTGGGTTTTCCTAACTTTTTGATTTCAGAAATTGATAGATGCAACGGTTGTATTTGCGGCTGCTTGGATATTTTTCCAAGCTTCTTTAAGATGAACTATTTCTCTACACCCGACTAGGTCCTTAGCTAATTTTCCCCTGAATGCGTCGTTGATCTTTTCATCTTCAAATCGACACCTAAGGAATCTTCTTGCTGTGACTTCCCTATGTTTAGTGAAATGCATTACTTACTTACTTACACCTGTTACTCCCGATGGAGCATAGGCCGCCGACCAGCATTCTCCAACCCACTCTGTCCTGGGCCTTCCTTTCCAGTTCTATCCAATTTTTGTTCATATTTCTCATGTCTGTCTCCATTTCTCGGCATAATGTGTTTTTTGGTCTTACTCTTCTCCTTTGGCTTTCAGGATTCCATGTGAGGGCTTGCATCGTGACGCAGTTGGATGCTATCCTCAATGTGTGTCCTACCCACTTCCAGCGCTTCTTCCTCCGCTGGGATCTGGTTTGTTCTCTCCCACAGTACATTGTAGCTGATAGTGTCTGGCCAACGGACCTGAAGTATTTTGCGTAGACAACTGTTGATAAACACCTGTATCTTGTGGATGATGGCTTCCGTAGTTCTCCAGGTTCCCGCCCCATACAGTAGAACTGTCTTGACATTTGTATTGAAAGTTCTGACCTTGGTGTTGGTTGACATTTGTTTTGAGTTCCAGATGTTCTTCAGTTGACACCTAAGTAATTTTCTTGCTGTGACTTCCATACGTTTAGTGAAATGCATAGATGCGTATATTTACTGCGGCATGATCATAATCCATGTGTGTACTTTAGTAATAGCAGCAGTTTTCAATCGAGCCTCTAACGATGCGTGATGGGGATAAATCCGCTCGTGTTCAACACTGTGTTTGTGTTGGGGGTTCCCAGTTTGAACAGTGTCTGTGCTTATGTCTCAAATTTTTACCTGCTAGGAATGGTCGGTTTTCTGAGAGAAATTGTAGCAGGTAGTTACTGTTATCTGTCCGTCGGGTAGACTGTGGTTGCTACCTCGACGTGGTGGTCGAGTTTGAATATCATATTGACCTAATCGAGGTATATCAGCTGGGACAATTGTTCCTTTATGTCCTATCATGACAGACAAGTCGGTTGGAGCACGGTAAGACTAAAAGCAGTAAGCTCTTGGTTCGAGAGCGAAGTCGTACTGTTAACTGTACAGGTGTGGTGACAGCAAGATGTTTTCCTCAGATAACCGGCATCCACAGCCCTCACGACGAAATGAGGGGATTAGGAAAGCTTGACCCTAAAAATGCCACACTACCCCACGAGTGACCGTCTCTGACGATAGGGACTTCCGAAATGCCTCGAACAGTGGTCCCTTGGGTCACACTTTCAGGTTGCTGAGACTACTACTAACCCAGTTCCCCTTTCGGGTCGGTCAGTCAGTCCGCTACAACGTGAGACTAGGCACATTTATACATCAGTTCAAGGTGTCATACCTCGTTAGCACAACAAGATGAACACCAAATTCACAGAAGTAGTAACTTCGATGGTGATAATATATAAAAGAAAGATTGTGTATAAGAATATGATACAGGAAGGAAGGGTGAGTTCGTAGAAAGAAAGGTACAGAGTAATTTTATCCTCACGGTTTAAGAGAACTTGATTTCAGATTAATTCAATTTATATTTGTTACTTTATAACCGAGTGATCATGACACTTGAGTTATAATTGCTTTCAGTGTGTCTTAGTTAACGATATGGTTTGGTAACCTACTTCAGAGGGAAAGTAGCAGTCAGCACCTAGGTTTTAGGAAGACAGTATGCTTTGTTTAACATATTAACTACGTGAGTTTAAATAGTTTATTTTTACGTGAAACAATGGAGACTAGAAGCAACCAAAACATGGACTAACTGACTAGGTTATGGACTCGCGTTTAATCTAATTAAATAAAACATGATTGATAATAACCTGCAGGTTGGAGGTTCTATATTGCCATTATGATTAATTTTGATAACTGAAATGTAATTTTTATTATTAAATTTGTGGTAGTTCTTGCATTGACTTTAATTTACTGACTAACGCGCTAACATCTATATACTAGTACAAAAACACTCGTACATCGAATGTGATAGTTTTTCGGTACGAGGTATATGGGCACCCGCAAATGTATCCGTACATGTGGGAGTAATGGGGTCATTTTGATAAATTCATTTTAGCAATAACAAGAGTCCCGCGAACATAAATTCAAGATGTATAAGCAATGGACTGATGACTGACTTGATTTTCTTTGGAGTGGAAGGTCCAGATAGCATCATTCTTGTGAATCTCCCAACACAAATCCCCATCGAAACAAAAAATTTCTTTCTTGTCTTTTTGAATTGAAACACGAATATGTTTGCGTTCAATATTAACAGAAATATTGCGAGCATCCACGTTTTCTGGTATCTGTATGCGATAAAGTTATTTAAATTAAGAGCATAAAAACCTTTATTTTAATATCAATATCCTTGATAGTCTGGCTCCATGTGTATTTATCTCTATTGGCTCCGTTGTAGCAATCGGGATCTGCCTGATAAACTTTAAATTCATCATTTCTAGTTATTGGAAGTAAACTCTATTTACAAACACATACTCTTCACTTTTCGATGTTAAGTTTGTAACGCTTGATGGACACCCAGATACTTTTTTATCATCGTTTGACGGTAAGTCAGTGGTATTTGACTGTTTTGGTTCTTCTTTGGTGACTGATTCTACAATTTCTTAAAGTGAACCGGGAAAGGGACTTACTGGTTGGTTGGTTGGTGTCTAGTTGACGATGACGCTGGTAACCCTCAAATATTGTTTTATATTTCTCGTAAGCCTGGAAAATATTTTGATATTACAACACACCTTAAGAATCATTTCGATGCTCACACCAGGTGGGAAACCTATTTTTTTTTGTTCTGGTGTCATAATATAGAAAAAGTCGGTCCTGAAGACAATCAAAATCCTGTGTTATAATAGATACCTGCGCATTAAGAACCCGAATATCACATCTAAAAACTTCTCTAACTTCCCTTCGTTTTGGAGAATACCCAGTAGCGCGTTATCATATTGAATATTGACGTTAGTCATTTTAGACGTAACGGGCTATAAGGGAAATAAATATTACTAAGATGTGTCGTCAGATAAATTTTCTTTTAGAAAACCAATTTACGCGGATGTAGACGAGAACATATCTATGATCATGTCTATGACAAAGGTGAACAAAAATGAGGATATTAGGCAACTATTATGAACATTGCAGTAGGAGAATAGCATGAGCAGTTCGTTGCATAGGTACGCAGAACAGTTCCAAATTCGATTTGTAAATTGCAGCATCTAATACGTCTAAATTTATAGCTAGACTAATGGCCAACAATGAACATCTTAAATGTAAAGTAGAAAATAAGCCATAGCACGAACTATCTCAGTTTACAAAAATCAATCGTTACAAGGGTGTACAAAGAGTGCATACACCGACGCCATTGTGATCGATTCTGAGCCATGTCACCCAAAGTCTTCAACCAAGTAGTCTGCATCTACCAACATGTCTCAGACTAAAAATTAGTGACTTCAAGGACTGATGCGACGTTTTGGTTTGATCGCCCCTAACTTCCTTCCAACCGTTTCCAACACTAGTCAGCATTGCGCGCCGTGGTAGTCTGTGGTTGTGTATGCGTAACACGTGACTCAACCATCAGTCAATGAAGATTCACAACCTCGTCAACTGATTTACCATTATTCCCCAATCGCCTGAGTCTAACCTCACTATTATTTACCCGGTGATCCCAGCAGATGTGAGCAATATTTCCAAGACATCTGTGATCAAATACAAGTGATTTACGAGTATCTTCTACTCTTAATGGCCACGTTTCGCAGCCGTAAAGTAGAACATAATGAACTGCTACGCAGTATACTCGTCCGTTTATTGATAGACGGATATCTCGTCTTCGCCATAGGTGACGTAAGTTGGCAAAAGCGAAACGAGCTTTTCGAATCCGTACTGAGATTTCGTCAGGCACCAACTCATTAGGGCTGATCAAACTTTCAAGATACGTGAAGTTGTCGTCGCGTTCGACTACTTCACTCCCTATCCTTAGTTCAGGTGTTGACGCAGACCAGTCCTGAGGCAACAACTTTCATTTAGAGGTAGAGACGCGCATTCCAAACATTCTGGCATTGTTGCTTAGTGCTACCAAAAGACTGCATCTTATCAGCGTCTTCACCAAACAGGACTATATCATCTGCGTATTCTAAGTCGATAAGTGGACCTCCTGGTAGGAGATTAATGCCCGATAATTCAGTCAATGAGAGCATTATTTCCATCAGTAGATCTTTGATTAAGTTAAACAAAAATGGAGAAAGAGGACAGCCTTGACGAGCACCACTTGAGGTTGCAAAATCAGATGACAGTTCGCCATAAACTCTGATTCAACTGGCGGTGTTCGAGTAGAGAGCTTTCACAAGGTTTATGTACTTATCAGGCACATCTTTCAATGAGACACTGCCACAGAACCTCTCAGTCTACAGAGTTGAATTCTGCTTTTATGCGTCATAGGACTGCTAAGCCTGTATCCTTGGCCCAGTCAGTCAGTCAGTAACAACGTAGAACTTCGTACGTACGTACATCAGTTCGAGTTGCCACACCACATTAGCACAGAGATGCAATGGTCGATTCAAATCCCGTAGTGGTAGAGGTAATAAGAGTATACGCAGTAATCGGGAAGATTAGTGTTTGGAGATGTTACTTAAAGAGTATAATACACTGAAATAAATTTGGGAAGAGAAAAAAAAGAGACAAGGAGGAATAAGGAGATCAAAATTTGGGAGAACACAAAGAGTGTATGCACCTGCGCCATTGCAAACGATTTTGAGCCATGTCATTCAGGGTCTCTAACCGTCGGTTGCTATCATCTCGCGATCCCCAACCAGGTAGTCTACACCTACCAACATGACTCAGTCTACTTGTCAGTGACTTCATGGACTTGTGCCACGTTTTGGTCTGGCCTATCCTAGCTTTCTTCCAATCTACTCCTATACAACAAAACATCGCTCGTTGGGGCAGTCGGTTGTTGGGCATACGTACCACATGTCCCAGCCATCCCAACTGATGAAGTTTCACTAGGTCATCAATAGATTTGCTATCCTTACCTAGTACCCGTTTCCTAACAACTGCATTACTTACTCGATGGTCCCACGATATACGAGCAATATTTCGAAGACACCTATGATCAAATACTAGTAACCTACGGATATCCTCTACTCTTACCGGCCATGTTTCACTGCCATAAAGTAGGACGGAACGCACTGCTGCACAGTAAACCCGTTATTTAGTTGATAGACGGATATCTCACCTACGCCATAAATGACGCAAGTTGGCGAAAGCTAGTCAAGCCCTCTGTATCCGTGCTGAGATTTCGTCACACCAGACCACAAGGGCTGATGAGACTTCCAAGATAAATGAAGCGATCGACACGCTCAATTATTTCACTCCCTATCATTAGTTCAGCTGTCGAGGCAACCCAATCCTGAAACAACATTTCGCATTTCGAGGGGGAGAATCGCATCCTGAACATGCTTGCATTGTTGCTTAGAGTGGTCAGAAGACTGCATTTTGTCAGCGTCTTCGCTAAATAAAACTATGTCATCAGCATATTCTAAGTCAACAAGTGAACCTCCTGGTAGAAGTTCAACCCCCTGAAAATCTAGACGAGGAAAGTGTTATCTCTAAAAGAACGTCAATGACAAAGTTGAACAGGAATGGAGAGAGTGGACAGCCCTGACGAACACCACTTGAGGCAATCAATTCTGATGACAGTTCGCCATAAGCTCTCACTCTACTAGTTGTGTTTGAGTAGAGAGCCTTTATAAGGTTAATGTACTTCTTTGGTACTCCTTTCAGTGACAAACACTGCCATAGAACTTTACGATCAACAGAGTCGAATGCCGCCTTAAGTCCGAAAAATACTACCATTGTGGGGCGTCTGAATGTGTGTCTATGTTCTAGGACTTGACGCAGTATGAATATCTGGCCTATACGGCCACGTTCTGGTCGTAAACCAACCTGATTTTCTCTAGTCTGCTCTTCAAAAGCTTAGTTTTGGTGTCAAATTATTATTGAGACTAATATTTTAGACACAATGTTAGTCAAACTGATTCCTCTGTGAGTGTCACAAGAGGACTTTTGTCCTTTCTTATAGACTGGCACAATCAGTGATTGAAACCAGTCAGATGGGATTACGTCCAGTTCCCAAATTCTACCTAGGACCTCAGTCAGTCTCGCTACTAATACTGGACCGTCATCCTTAAAAATCTCAGGGGTAAACCTGCCAGTGTCTGCTGCTCTCTCGCTTCAGATTTCCTGTAGCTTTTTCAACTTCGTAAAGAGTTGAAGGACTTGCATCAATTTGCCATCCAAGCCGACTGGAGATCGTGGGAAACCGAAGTGTGGCTGAAGGCCAGTTGAACTGATCCCTAAAGTGTTCTGCCCATCGATCCAATCTCCTAGGTTGAGAATGTACAATATGTTCATCTTGGCCCTAGCTCCTATCTGTCTTTCTTAAGTTTTTACATAATAGTTATTGTATGGCACTTAAATGGCCTAACTTAATTTGAGATATTTTCACTTAAATTACATTTGGAATGTCCCCATTATTTATTTTTCGGTTGCTTGGGTTATCAGTTTAGTGAAATAAACAGAACTGTAGTATGGATTACATAAGCAGCTGTGATTGCCGGCTTAAATTGTAGTGCATGCTAAAGTCAGTTCGGTATTTTCTTATCTAACGTAACTAGACATTCATGCAGTGAAGATGGGTTATTTAGAGTTCCTGTATATATTTAAAATTTTATGGGCAAAAAACTATGTACATTTATTCACGCACATCAAATAAAAATAAAAGCAGGGACTTATTTGAGTACACATAACAAAATCCGAATAACACTTACCTTAGCGCGTAAAGTCTAGGTATTCAAACCTCAATGAAGAAAATTATTGAAATAAATGTTTCGTTGATTTTGTGTTCAGATAAATGATGTGATTCTCAGATTTGGTAGAGGGTTAATCCTTGTTTTAGAAAATTTAGGAACTTGCTATGTTTGAGTTTTTGACAAATGGAGGTGAAGTGGGCCAACGTGCGTAATTTTAATTGGACAAAGCCTTTACCTTTAACACCTTATAATCGATGTATGCCAACCCAGTCAAATCGGAAGTCAGAACTGAGGTGGTTCAAAGTTGCATTTGAAAGTCTATCGATGTCTCGTGAAACATTTGATTCAAGCTGGCTAACGGTTGTACGGGGTTTCTAGCATGGCGTGCCTCCCCCCAGTTATCTGGTGTGAATGCCTGATCAAGCGCCTTCAGCTAAATGTATCAAGTAGAACTAGTGGGTTAACACCAATGCCAACGACCCACAGAACTATTTATTCACCGCTACAGCTTACTCCCTCTCTAGTTGAGCAGTGATGACTCTAAGATGTGGCCAGTCAGAAGTATAAACCCAGTGGGTTTGTCGTTTGTAAACACTCCTCTGAAAGCTTGCTATGTTCAGCAGCGCCTGCTCGTCATTCCCTGATCTAAGGGGCTATATGGTAACAATAGCATTGAAAAAAGTGCAATTAAAATCTCTGTACCTCGTATTCTCCGTTAGTTTCTTATGTTTTCGAGTCCTCCTGAAAAAGACAAGGAAAGTGAACGTAGGCGCATGCCTAAATGCATTTGTGCGTATATAAAAACACAGAATAGCAGGAAAAAGGAAGATAAACTTGTATACATAAATTTTGATAACAAGCAATGACAGAAACAAATTTCTCACAATGGTTGTTTTGATTTTTAGTAGAAAAATATGCTCATATATAGTGCATATTACATAAAACATATGTTGTCTTTGTTTTTCTGAAGTAAAATTACAAAAAAATGGGATGGAAGAAAATTTTATTCAGGTTTCTACACTCAGCAGTCGTTGAAGCGTTCGGAAACCTTAACTTTCTTCTGGAGTGTGTTGTTTTATGCCCGAAATCAGTAGTTCTGTAGGTCTTCCACATTGACGTCGACCTCACCAGTTCTACTTGATACATTTAGCTGAAGGCGCTTGATCAGGCATTCACACCAGATAACTGGGGGGAGGCACGCCATGCTAGACACCCCGTACAACCGTTACCAGCTTGGATCAAATGTTTCACGAGACATCGATAGACTTTCAAATGCAACTTTGAACCACCTCAGTTCTGACTTCCGATTTGACTGGGTTGGCATACATCGATTATAAATGTGTTACCGGCAAAGGCCATTGTCAATCTCTCAACACCTGTGGGATTTTCAAATTACTTGGATAAATATGTCACCGATTTTCTCCCTTAGCGTGACGATTTTAGCAGCATCTGGTCGTCTTTCCTAACTATAACAGACCACATAGTACAATAAAGTAATAAAGAAACAAGGTACAATCGAAATTTCGGTTCCTCTTAAACTTCATCGTTCTTTTTATCGTCTTTCCCAGCCGTCTTGGAAAAGAAAAATAGGATAGGTAAGTGCATGTCGAAATGCACTTGTACGCGCGTAAAGACGCAAAGAGGGGGGAAAGGAAAATAAACTCACACACATGCGATTGCGTGATAGCGATTTTAAAAGAATTTTTTTTCTTTTCTAAGAAAAAAATTAAATATTCACACATTAGCAAAAAGTTGTATTTCTGGAGTAAATATATAAGTATAAGCATTTTAAATTTTTTTATCATATGTAATACAAAGGAAAATCGGGATAAAGTAAACTTTTAACTGGTGTCTTACGCGCAATATTCGTTTACATGTCCTGGAAATCTCACTCTTTTTCCAGAACGCGTTATTCTGAGTCTATTTTCAGATACTGCCAAAGTATTATCGTGCATGTTGTCAGATGAAATGTTATGAATGTAGGAGTCGTGACGTTCGATTTTACCGAAGGAAAATTGAAGTGATAGGGTTTCCTTTGACGCAGTCGATGCTGATGCAGTTATTAGTTCCATTCTTGTTGACTATATAATACTTAGGTCCGCGTTGAAAAACTTTGTATGTTGGTTCGAGTGGTCGTCGATGTGAGTCTCGATTAACAAAGACGTGTGTACTATATCGAAAGTCAGGTTGAACGAAAACATCAGTTGACTGCAGTCGAGTGGAAACAGGTTTAACTGAACGTATTGCGTTTGTAAGCCTGTTCGTGTAGGAGGTTAGACCCATATTTATTGAATGTGAATGATCCGCGAATTCACCCGGCAGGAAAAGTGTCGTTCCATAAAGGAGCTGAGCTGCAGTGTATCCAATGTCAGCTTTCAATGCACATGCAATATTGCGAACACCGAGTGGAAGAGAGTAGGTTCACTGTGAAGCGTTTGCAGTTGATAGGGAAGCTTTTAGTTGTCGGTGAAAGTGTTCTACCAACCTGTTTGCTTGTAGGTTGTCGTTTGGAATCGTGTGATTCCTAATAGTGTAGTCAGACAACGGAAAATTCCAGATTCAAACTGGCGTCCATGGTCTATAGTAATAGTTCAAGGGCAACCGAAGTTTGTTACCCACCGTTTGACGAAGGCCCGGGCTACTGTTTCGGAAGTAATGTCCATGATGGGTACTGCTTCTCGCCATTATGTGAATTGGTCTACACACGTTAAGAGTATCCATTTGAATCTGGTAAGGGCCCTGCTAAATCAAGATGAACGTGGTCGGAACGAGCATCGGGATTTCTGAATGAGCCTAAAATACATATGTTGTGTCTAATCACCTTAGATTTCTGGCAGCTTACATAGGAGCGTGCCCACTCCCTTATGCCTTTGTTCATAACAGGCCAACTAAACCGTTCTGCTTTGAGCTTGATGGTTGGGTGTACGCCTGGATGAGACAGTTTGTGCAACGTATTGACGACGGTGAGTCGATAGTGTTTTGACACGATTGGACGATCCCTACCTGTAGGTGTGTCGCATAATAAGGTTTCCTTACTTGTCCTCACCTGTCTAGTACACAGTTTTAGGGTTGCTGAAGATTATTTGGGCTGAAGATCAGTGTCTTCTTTTGAAGCTGGTGAGTTTGAGAAGGTCAATTCCTGGGGAAATGCTCAAGGATACTATATGAGACAAGGCATCTGAGACTACATTGTTCGCCCCAGAAATATGTTAAATGTCTGAAGTAAACTGCGAAATAGTTCAGTTGTCGAGACGCACGAGGTGAGTGCTTGTTTGAAGATAAGCCTAAAGAGAAGGTAGGAGGTTTATGATCAGTAGAAAGAGCGAAACCTTGGTCCTCGACAGAGTGTTGAAAACACCGTACAGCACAATACATAGCTAGGATTTCCCTACCAAAAGTGCTGTACCTCTATTCAGTGTCTAGCAACTGCCTCGAGAAAAATGCCAAAGGTTGACCGATGTGGTTGGCCCATCGTTGTGAAACTCCTCTGATTGCCGAGTTGGATGCGTCCGTTGCGATACTACTGGGTGTCCTAATGTGCAAGCATAGTTGCTTTCGCGCGGTATCGTCCAAATTGATGGATTTCGCATTTCCACGAAGTTGGTCGGTTAGTGGTTTCATAAGTGACGCGCAGTTCGGTATAAACAGTCAATAGAAACTTACAAGGCCGTTAAATGTGCGTAAGTGTTTAATAGTAGTCGGTTCTGAGTAATCCAAAACGGCAATCACTTTGCTTCTAAGAGGTCATATGCCTTGTGCATCAATAATATGTCCTAGGAAATCCAAGTAGTCGGTTTCGATTTGGCATTTCTGAATGTTACCAGTAATGCCATGTTTTTGCAGTCGTTCGAAAACAAGGTTCAAATTCTGGAGATGGGATTCTCTGTCCGGACTTGCTACCAAGCAGTCATCAACATACGCATGTACGAAGTTGAGACCTCGAAAAACGTCATCTATGAACCTTTGGCATGTTTGGCAGCTTTCCTTAGGCCGAATGTAGTGCACGAAAATTCGTAGAGTCCCAAAAGGGTGATGATAGTGCTTTCAGGAATGCCGTCAGTGGCTTTAGTTATAAGCTTTAACCCACTCGAATTTCGAAACAAAGTTGTATCTTTGAAGGTAGCTGTCAAATCGTGAATGTGAAGCAACGGGTAACGATCGGGAACGGTTTTCGCATTCAATCGTCGATAGTCACCTGTTGGACGCTAATCGTTGCTGTCCTTTTTAGGGACCATGTGCAAGGGAGATGCCCATGAGCTGTTGACGGCCGAATAATTCCTAACCCTATCATGTGATCGAATTCGTTTCTAGCCAACCTCAGCTTTTCGGGAGCTAGTCGGCGCGCTTTGGAGAATACAGGTGCTCCTGTAGTCATGATGTGACGTGTAACATTGCTGGTTACACACCGGGATTTCGGTTGTGGTTAGTATATCCCAGAATACTTATCAAGTAATGGTTGATAGAAGACAGAAGATAATCTGTAACCGGAAAAACTGGTGTTTCCGTCTACTAGTCCCCGTTTGCGCGTATCTATGAGTAGATTGTGGTATTGTAGGAGGTCAATGATTATCAATGATTAGCATAGAAACATCTGCAACAACAAAGATACAGTGAATGGGTTCCCGTAAACCCACGTTAAGGTAAACATACATTTTACCGTATGTGGAGATAGGCTTTCCGTTTGCCGCCTGTAGATTTAAAACCAATTCGTGAAGCCGGTCGTTAGAATTTGCTGGAAGAACGCTAACTTCTGCGCCAGTATAGACGAGGTAGCGAATTTTCGTTATCACATTTGTGACGTATAATAGATGGCTGTTTTCGCCGGTTACGGCTGCTATTAACGCGCACCGGCTGGGAGGTTTCCCATATTGTTTTTTGTGTCGGTCGATTTTAAGTTCGGAAAATTGAAGGGTTTGCTGCAATTTCGAGAAAGTATTCCGTACTGGTTATGATATCAGCACCAGTCTTGGTTATCAGTCTCTCGCGGTCTAGAGACAGATCGCTTACGTGAAGTGGATCTTCGCGGAGTATGTAACCGTTTACGGTGGTTACGAAATCTAAGATAACGTGTATATTATAAGGTTTCGTGATTTCTAAGATGCGGTCGGCAAATGCAGCCAGTTCGCCTAACGCGTTGTTTTGACACGAGACCAGCACGGCGTGCACCTGTTAAGGAAGCTTAGATGAGAAAAGTTGTCTGAATAAGCCATCATTGAAAGTTCTTTTGCCGATAACCTCTCTCATTCTTAGCTACATGTCTGTTGTAGAACCGTTTTGCAGGTCGATATAATCAAGCAGTCGGTTTAATCCCTGTCGATCAGCTACATCTCCGCGTTTAAGTGTTTCGTAGTGTTCCGAAACATCACTAGTGAATATACTAGGTGTTACGCAACTGTTAAACTCGCGCGGTAGTGCCTTGACTACTGCGAAGAAGTGTGCACGTTTGTCGTTCACGCTGTGCTCGTGGAAGTTGACCTTTGCGTAGCAGAACCAGGCTTCGATGTTGTCTGACCAGAAGATCATTATTTGAAACGAAGGTGAGGACATAGTCTTTAACTTAGGTACCTTGGGTGTTTGTTCCGTCATGGTGAAATATCAAGTACGAGAATGAACGAGCGAAAAAATTACATATCCAAAAAACATGAAAAACATATCACAATATATAAAAATTAAAATAAAGCAATAGTATATATAAACCCCCAAAAGTAACAGACGCAGTGTGCATTTTGGTGTAACAGATCACGTTGGGCCCACCAATGAAGATGCCACATGTATTTGGAGTTTGACAATGCTTTAACCAGTAACACCTAATATGAATCCTACACTTTAAGTGAGATCAATAGACAGAAGCGAAGAGTTTAGAAGATATGCTTGATAGGTTCTCAATATATCGTGGATTACCTGATCTATTTTGGCTGGTGATTGCTGGGGATGTTAAGCACGGCGTCCCTACTCATGCTCTGGTCCGGATGCATCGCCGAGCGCCTTCAGCTGGATGAGTCCATTAAAACTAATGTGCTCAGCATCCAATGTCGAAAACTCACAGAGCAATTGACTTTGGGGATTTAGTTACCGCTACATACATACCGATCTTTCTATCTATCTATCTATCTATCTATCTATCTATCTTTCTATAATTTGTATGATATTCTGCTATTCCATCAATGTATGAATTTTGGAACACGTTGAATGTTTTTTACATTCTTAACACCCGATTTAATTAGTTTGAACACATTTTTGCCGATTTTGCGTACTTCTATATGTATTTTATTACATTTGAATTTTCGGATTATCCATCTTCAAAGCTATTTTCATTCTGAGATAATTGCTGGTGATTCTTTATGCCATTGTCAACATAAATACAATTCATTTACAATAAGTTCTAAGTCTCGCTTTATTCTAACACTACTATTATTTCGGTACAGTTGTATTCACTCAATCTAAGTCTACTTTGATTATTTGTTATTACTCTGCGCCTTTTAATTCAGGTACTTAAATATATATTCGTTACGATCTATATTCCAGCTTTTATTCAATTATCGCTTTAAAGTCAAACGGAAACTTGGCTCTTACAGTGATTAGATTCTTAGGTATATGACTGTGTTGCTCGTAAATACTTGAACCTGGTTAATAAATGCTGTTTCTTGATTAATTACTTAGCTTTAATGTAAATGCTAATGATCAAAAAAATCAAATAGTTAGAAAGAATAAATAAGCAGTTATTTTTGGGGAAATTTACCGTTTGTCCATAAAAATCAGCTTAAAGTTTAAACAAGAAACGTGAAAGTTATTAAACTGCAATGAACATTTGTGAATACACATTAAAAAATATATACTGATAGATTGAAAATATCTGTTGACGAATCAATAAGTCATTTCGTTAGTATCTAGGGTGTTTTAAATTAAATTATTTTTTTATCGTGAAGACTTACTATATGCGGTTTCTTTTCGAGGATGGAGAAACATCTTGATATCTGTTTAATCCTATATAGTGGTCACATAAATACAGGTGGTGTTTAAGTTTTCAGGACTAAGCCTTTGATGTCATGGAAGCTAGGAGGCTAAAACAAAATATATACATTCAACCTTGTTCCTTAGCGTGATAATTTTAGTCGACAATGCTAAACATGGGAACTTGGTTAGGAATGGAGGCTACATCCACCACGGCTCATGTACAAAGCTTTTCCTCCTCTACATAGTCAGTTAACAAGTCTTGTGTTTTCTATCTCTTTCTACGTTCAAACAGGATGATAGATCATCAGAAATTATTTGATAAACGTCTTATTTACGTAACTTTATTTTAGAAATTTAAATTTCCTATATTCACCCTAAAAGCGCCCATTTTTACCTTCAGATTGTATTTCTCACTAAGAAGGACCTTAAACGTCATTGGTTTGTTTCCTCGTTAAATGCACCATTTTTTGACATCTCCCAAGGACATCTTTAAATACTTTATATGTACGTTTGATTTGTTTGCTTGTTTGTCCGTGCTTCCGACTGCTTGTGGAATACTCTTTTCCGTCGACTGAATCTGGTCTTCTCCCTCTGGTTAACAGGGCTGTGTCTCTGTGAGTAATTTAGATTGTGCTGTTGACTTTCGTTCTGTTCGCCGATTTAGGCGATATCGTAATTTCCTCAAACACAGCTCACTCTTAGTCTTCTTCCTTGTTTGTATCAAAATTATCTTCAAAACAATTTCAATAATGTTTGGACGTTCTCACTCTTCAAACTAAGCTACTGGAAAATATATAAGCCAACATCTATTAGTAACTATTGTCACTGACAGACATCTCATCTGGCAGAGATTGTCGTTATGATATATGCTGTCTAGCTGTCAATGATACAGAGTTAGTGTGGTGTTTGAATGAACTAATGATTCCTTTGTACTTGTTGAATGCTTGGTTTCGAATTCTAAATACAGTACATTCGGGCACACTATGCGTGTTAGTTTACGGGTTTTCGCGCACATGTAACATATTGTCGTGGATTTTATGTTTCGTTATTTATCAGCTATTAACAGCCTTTTTCCATCATACGTGACTTCTCGTAATCTTTGTGATTGGAAGATAGTATTTATTTCAATTTATAAGCAGTTTGACGTATTTTGTGCTCACCACCTAAGTAAACATGCAGTTGGCGTAATATGGTTATTTTTTAATAATACAAGGTCAAACAAGTCAAATCACCATTTTTCTAGTGAAAAATAGAAAACAGATTGACTTTTCATGAAAATAAGCCGTGAAAAGCATTATATATGGTTCACCTCCTTGATTATGGTGACAGCAAACATAGATGTTCGCAGTCGTTTATAAGATGTTATCAGAAAGAAGTAAGCATTAAACTAACTATGGATATTATATAAATTGTTTGTATTTAGCCATAAAAGGTTATTTGCACTAAAGGTAGCATTGTTTGGTATTGAAGTGACATATTATTGTGTAACGTATCAGAGAAAAATTATGTGAGTAAGAATTGATGTTGATAGTCTTTTTTACCGGCTTTCTGAACGTATACAGGAACAGTGTATAACACCACATTAAATAGGCACAAAATCTTCATAAGTGAAACGATGGCTGTCTCTTCTGAGCATAGTGACAAAACCATGTCGTACTTAATATTGATTCATGATGTGTCTGTTATAGGGTTGACGAATAATTTTCTGTAAACGAAATGCACAGTCTCAGACGAAAATGTGAACAAACTTATGATGCATATTGTCGAGTAATATCTAAATGGTACCTACCAATTTTTCTTGCTAATACCAGATGTATGTACGAAATAATACAAGGGTTAGACACTGAATAAATTCCCCGTGCTTGTTACGACACAGACTTGAATAAAAAACAACTATTCATGAGTTAATTCATGAATTCCTACTGTATTACAGACTGACTCGTCCGAAGTAATTCATGCAGACAACGGGACGAAAAGTGAATGAGCAATGGAAGCAGAATCACAAGTTCCTTGTATTCATATCTCGTTTATGCCACATTAATGAATAACATTTTCTTCATAATTCAGACCACGCTTCTTTGTTGTGACGAAACTGATTTCAGCAATTTTTAAATAACATTGATTTGTGTGTTGTAAAGATTACCTATTAATTTTTATTAAAGGAAATAGAAATCTCTAATGATTAGCGCTGTCTGCAAATAAGAGACTTATAGGTACATTCTGTAACCTGCTATTTGATGTACTTATTGAATGTGATACTTATAACTAGGTATAATTCTTTATTTCACAACTGATTTGTTTGTTTTTTCAGAATTGTATGAATCCAATAAAGTCGTCAAAAGTTTGTGATGTTTACGCCGGTCTACAACTTACAGAATTTGTTAAAAAACGGTTTACATGTTCACGTTAACTGTGTTCCGTATTGCCTAGTAACATTTTTATTCAACTAATGAATTAGTGAAATATAAATATAGCAACTACACTTATTGTCTTTATAAACCGTGTCCGTCTTTATTAATAGTCGATATGACGCTAGAACAAATATAGATATAGAATAATATGAACTCCTTATAATCCATGGAGTGAACAAGTAATAAGATGGATTATGTATTAATTCATTTCACTTTTAAAATTTAGTTGCCGATTTATTCCAGCACCCTGTCACTTACATCTGCTCACTTAATCCTCTGTAATTATGTGACCTCTTCAAATTGTAATAAGTTATTACGTGTCCCAAGTTTTCAGTTCTTAAATCCACGGATCACTTATAGGCCATAAGATTTTCACACCACTTATCTGTCTGTGAACTCCAGTCCACTATTACACCACCCATTCTTAATGTGTTATTGACTGTAAAAACAAATGACCTTTGACCTTAAACTGCATATATATATATATATATATATATATATATATATATATATATATATATATATATATATATATATAGTCATTATTGATAACCCACGTCATTTCAATTATTCATATTAAGGTATGTCAACTGTTTCCCACATCACTGTTAAATCCTAATGCATATTTAGTTACAACGAATGCATACCACTGTTAATCAACATTTATCCTGGTTTCATTTTAATTCATAAGCGGAACTAATCACATGGAATTAAAATCTTAGCTACTGATACGATTTTAATTATAAACGTAATCCGACGAAGGTGAATATGATATGTGGGTGCCTAATCTGCAAAATTGTACGTGGATGTAGGGTTTCTGAATCATTCTTAATTATTACAAACAGTTACACATGAACGTCATTGCTATTTATTCCCATGAAACTAGGAATAAGGTGAAAATTAAAATTATGACAGTTTATTGAATAATCATTGCTGCTAAAGCAGAAAATCAAGTTTACAAGTTGGTATTAAGAATTCTTAAGTAATAATTGTCCACCTTCTTCTCAACTTCCGTTGCGAAACGTTCATCATACTTCTCAATGATGCGTTGCTTATGGATTCTTCGACTTCGTTGAATACTTATATACACTTCACTCCGTTGTGTTAATGCAGTTAATGTATAATTTTGGAAGTTCTGGGTAATATGTAACTTCCATCTGCTACAATACCTAAGAAGTTGATGAGCTATGCAGTTAGTATTTCATAATTGATATAGCTTACCTGTAAGATTTCGTCTTTTAACGTAGGCAAGTAGCATGTGACGGCAGGGATATCGGCACATCATAAACGTGCTACAATTGCATTGACAAATGCTTATATCAACTTCATAATGTTGTCCGCGATCAACCATAAACAACCAATCACCGCTTTCATATTCCACGTAGACAAAACGCATTTGTTTAAGTTCGTATAACAATTTAGATCTAGCGAGTGGGGTTAAAATGTTTAGCAGGGGTGTAAGACGCTGAGGAGCATTATATTTATAAGATCTTCCGGCTATCACTTGATCTTCGATACTTCTTCTAGCTGACGTCATTTCACTCCATTTTAAAGCCTTGTACATACACTTGTACAGACTATCACTTTTGCGTACATATCGTTTAATTTGCCTATTCAGCGATTCAACACGATTATTCGTGCTGTTACCCAATGTTAAAACATGACCGTAAAAGGCACGCGCCCACATCGTCTTACGTGCCATCCAAAAACGTGACAGGTACTGACCTATCAATCTGTCCCGTCGATTTATTATTCTGTAATATTGATTAAATCTATTGAATAAACACATTACAAAAATTATCTTTCAACCGTCTACGCAGTTACCAATCGAGTTAAGTAGGCTTTCATTATTTTGTCGTTTGTCTAAGGGCAATTTTATATAAGTAACCATTGGTGTACCTTTTTCCGGAAAGCGCGAATTACATGAAAGGCGCACAAAATTATGTTTGCATGTCCGTGTGTCATACGGACAGCCGCGCTTTCACATCTTGCGCAGTCCATCACAAATGTTTCAGTCAACATTGTATCCCCCATTATCTCTTTGAATTGATCTAGAATCCATATAACATCAGCACGCTTTTCCCTTCGAGTCCATGCAAACATTACAGTTCGACCTCGACCGCAATTATCCGTCACTACTAACTGGAATAAGGAATATCTACATAGTAAAATACAACGATAAACATATTCATTTTTTATTATTAGTATTATACGTAGAATCAATGCACACAACTTCTGGATATTTTCTGTACAGTTGTATTTGGTTAGAACTACTGAAACATATTCTAGTGGCATATCCATTTTCTAAATGTTCCTTCACTTCGCCTCTCTGTCTAAGCATATCCATTACCTGGTTCCGAGTAAAACAACCTGAAATATATTTATATACACTTACCAGTGGAGAGTGTAGCTTTCATACCTTTGACATCGGCAGCAGTTGCTTGCTTACCAGTTCTCTCCTTAATGCTTTCGATAACTTCCTCTGCTGACTCACAGTGAAGTATTACGGGCTTCAAGTTCTCTTTTTCTTCTGACGATAATCTCCTTGTCAATGGATCACATACCATCCATGAACTACTACATGGATGATTGTGGAGCATGTTGTAGGATTTGATGACATATCCTTGCTCCTCTAGTCTTACACGAAATTTAGATCGACAATTACGGAATTTAGACCTTAAACATAAGATATTAGTTAAAGATCTTACGATTTTTGCCTCACTTTCAAACCTTCCGATTTCCTCTTATGACCAAACGTACAATTAAATGATACAAACAGGTATTTGAACCTGACATCCTTTAGCAATCTGCTTTCTGTGTGGATGTAACGAGTATAAGTAGTCTGAGAAGCGATAAAATTATAATTCCATACTTTTTGGAACTCTTTTAAGGCGCTTTCAAAATCATCCCAGAAGACGAAACGCTTGTTCAGTATCATACTTCGAAAGGCATCGGTTAGGTCGACTGAAATGTCACTTGAGCATGAAGCACTAAAAACAGAAATGACTAATTATTAAAAGGTTATTCCTTGCGACAATAATAACCCAAGAAAATACTACAAATACTTAGGATTTACCTGTGACTTGACATTTCGTTGAGCTTTACTACAGTTGTTGGGATCAAAGATCAAATTACAAAGCAACAACAGAGCCAACGTGCATACTACAAAACAGAGAACGCTAAATTAATGGTTTTGGTATTTATTTCGTGCTTTTTTATGTAGCATAACATGACTTATATATGAAAAAACTTGGTACTCATGCAATCCAACCAACCCACGGCAATTGAAATACGGAATGACCGCCTCTAGTCAAGCCGTTCAAGGTCGTTGAAACGAAAGAGCGGGCACATTTCAAAAGGACCTAACGTTTAAACCTTGCCGTACATTCGTTCGTGCTTATCTGGTACCCCTTGATCCGATTACGCTGTTTCTGGGCTTCTAATGATCATAGTTAGGTATAGTTTCATTCGATACTACAGAGTGTATGAAACTTCAGGGTGTGAATGACTCGTTCAGTACTGCACGCAATCTGAGATTTCTCTATCTTAGTCTCTCATCTTAAAACATTTCATAAGGTCTTCATCAGCACTATTGTGGGATTCGTCATTCAGAACTTCTTCATCAAACAGGCTTTAGTTTTTTTTACATTAATCGGAACGGTTATTTGTTACTTTTGGCGTGTTCATAAAGGTACTTCCAGTCTCTGCATCACTTATCTTATTAGTCTGTCTGTAAAATGTCCCGGTTAAATAATTAAGCTACATTTGATTTTCGACAGTCTAAATACGGTACTATGAGATTATCACTTTCGTAGTAAACGGTATTAAGTCATATCGACGCAGAAATATTGGAGCTTCTCAGTAGTATTTTTTTCATGTAATGACTTTTCCAAAATCTGTTCGCCTTAAAGATAATTTTCATTATAAACTGGTATCAGCAAAAGAACCAATAAAAACTAGGAAATAGTGGACAAATTCAGTGCGTTAATGTAAAATTTTTCGAAGGAGATTTCATACAACACCATGTAGAAATTAACATATTAGTTGCCTAGTACCGTGTCAATGTTAACTTCAAGCACAGTGGTCGATATTTTTTCGATTTCAACGTAAAAGTCGATATTTTCTCGTTCCCTTCAATACGTAGCAAAAGTAAAGGGGTGTTTCATATGAAATGTCAGAAGAAATATATGAAATTAAAAAGACCGTTTATAGTAAATCCAATTATTTACAATTTACGTGTTTATTTACATCCATTATTTAATTCTCAGATCTGTTGATTCGAATCAGGGATCATGAATAGGTCTGTCAATCGAAGTGCTGAAAGGTAGGTAAACACTGAAATTATTGAAAACACTCACGTTTAAGTGCACGAAATTTGTAATATACCGAACTGAGTCTGTAGTACATTTCATGTCCTATCAATAATAAAACAGAATAGCGAACCTGTGAAAAGTGAGTTATATGAGCAAAAACTAATAAAAATTAAAAACACTTGTAATCCCTAACGTCAACACAAAAAATATTCATACCAGTATAAGTTAAACATACTCCCTACCTTCTGTACAAGCTGTTGGCCATCTATAATCAGTGGACCAGTGGATGATGTGCTAAGTGTTTGAAGTAAAAGGTACTTATTTGCAGTCTCAGTATGAAAATCAAAATTGAAATGCTGATAAATGAACGTGAAGATTCTTTTACTTAGTGCGCCTTACTTGCGCGTATTATCCTTCTTGAGTCATAGGCCACTGACAGGAGATCTCCAACCAATTCAATCTTGAATTGTTCTTCAGAGTTGTTGCCAAATACTATTGGTGGTCTTGACATCTTTCTTCGATTTCCAACTTCATGCGCGTTTTAGTTTCCTTCTTTTCTTTTCGCTTTGAGAGTATCATGTTAAGGCTTGGAACCGTGATTCAGTTAAATGATTTCCGTACAGTGTCTTATCCATCTCCAGCTTCTTTTCTTAATTTCCTCCTCAACTGGCAGCTGACTTGTTCTTGTCCAGCGTAGGTTATTGCTAGTAGTCTAGCCAATGTGTCTGGAGTACCTTGAGTCGCAACTAGTTATGAATACCTGATGATGGTGCTGGTAGTCTTTCAAGTTTCAACCCAACACAATAGAACTGTTTTAATGTTTGCGTTGAGAATCCCGAGTTTGGTGTTGAGTAACAGTTCTTTTGTATGAATATCGTCTTCGCTTGGCAATTCGTGCCTTCACATTTGCACCAAGTCCTTCATGTTTATCGATGATGCTGTCCAGGTGGGCACCCAAGCGCTTCCATCTCTGTCAGAGCTTTGCCACCGAATGGAACTTGTTTGATGCTCACTATTGTATTTCAGAGTCTTGCTTCCTCACTTGCAAATTTTAATGTCTTTCTGCGTGGGTTGCTGCAACACTGATAAACCACGTGCATTTATCGTTGTGCATGTGATAACATGGCTAAATGATATTTAAAGTCCAAATCGTCCAGCTGCGTCCAAAGTATCTTACTGTATTCCATCCTCTTCACGAGAACTGGAGGTCCTCATAATGCAGCCAACAACCAGAAGAAAGGTATGAGACGGGAGTAAGCACTTGGGATGGACGTGTGAGATTTCTTGCATGCAAGACTGCGATTTGGCCCTTCGTAGGAGCTCTGCATGATGGTGACGACTCAGGTACTCCGTAATGTCGAAGAAGGTTCCACAGGGTCCTCCTATCCGTGCTATTGAATGCTTCCTCGTAGTCAGAGAAGTTGATGTATGGTGATGAGCTTCATTTTAGTGATTGTTCAACAGTGATCCGCAGTGTCGCTACATGGGTGTCTAGAGAATCTCTCATTTAGGCCAATAACAGCCTGTCAAGAACTGTGCCTAGTACTAACGGAAGTGTAATTTTTCTGTCGTTTTCAGACTTTTTAAAATCTCGCTTCCTTGGTGTCTCTCATTTCAGTTAATTGGTGTGTGTTTATCTTTCCAGTTTTTTATGAAGAAACCGAGGAGCATCTTTGCACTTGCTCCTATTTCTCGGATTTATTATACATTACTGTTAATTAAACATTAATGGACATCAGCTGGGATAATTTTTATTTACTGTAACTGTTAAAATGTTAATTCATTAGGAACCTAATGAAATAAAGTTTGCAGAATGCATCTGTGTATTTCTGCACATATTTGAGAATTCAATATGATAACAACACTCTTCTGGTGGCTCCATCATCTGTGGGCAGTGATTCGATGATATCAATATTCAAATATTAACTAAGTAGGAATTATCAGAATGGGTTTTGTGGAGAATTTTAGAAATTTCATTTAGTTTTCCAGATTCGTGTTAAACTACTGACAGTACTTATGAATCTATATGAACATATCTTTAAAAATTTCAAAAACACTAATGTGTTCATTCGGCAAATAGGTTTTACTTACGAAGTCCCCAGAATTTCAATTAAAAGTATATATATATATAGCCCTTAAAGTTAAAAATGCGACAAGTTTTTAACAAGATCCTGTTTGAAAATTCTTTAGTGGAAGGTCTTTCTTTAGAAATGTGCCATTGAATACATTGATATTAGGCATCCTTTCAAAGCAAGCTTAATTTTGACGGAGATTTTCATCGCACCAAGTGATTTTAGTACGCTTTTACCCTTTTGGAGTTTTATCTAACCCCATGAATTATTAGATACTTTACTAAAGATCTACTCTCACTTACGTTTAAGTATAACATCCGATCGGTCAGTTTTATTGGTAGATACAGGTTTTGGAAAATATTTATCTTCCGGTTTTATATGATGATTGACATGGATAATTTTTGGTTGTTTATTAATTGTATAATAATTGAGTTTTTGCAATTCCACATAACTTAACTAACTAACCGGACATCTTTCAGGTTCTGATCCAACACTTAATTGAACATT